AAAAAAACAAAAAACAAAACAAACCTCTGTAAAATACTGTAAAAAAAGAAAAAAAAAACAACAAAAAAAGCTTTTATGGTGAGTTTTGTAAATAGATTTACTAAAGGGTGACATGTTCTCTAGCTGTGATCTTACCACTTCAAATGGATGTAATTTGAATAAATTTTGTATGGTAATGAATCAATAAAAAAGAAATTTTTTAAAGACTTTAGATTTGTATATAGCTATTTAAATTTTTCTTACTTTTGGTGCCTGTCATACTGTTTCTTTTTGAAACCTGTTACTGTTTTCATTATTGGTTCAAACACTCATTAGATAGATAGTTTCAATCCTTTTTTTTTAATGATGTTTACAAGGTTGGTGAGTTTTTTTAAGCCAGGGTGAAACAAGAATAAAACACATATTAAGAGACACAGCAGGTGATCCAGAGGTTGGGATTATACAAATGTATTTATTCCCTCTCCTCTCATATGAATTAGGAACAGACTTCTTGCAAACTTCATAGAAATTGTGTTATTGTAGGATTAAATTACATGAAAGGAGTTGTTGAGGATCTGCTTAACAGGCCTACTGATAATTCTCTAGAAGTTTCCTAATAGTAGCTTTGAAAAGAAGTGTTTTCTTCGGTCACTTCCAAGAGTCCCTTGTGCCAGATCTATATTTATGAACTTTTACTTTTCTGGTTTTGGTGCTGTGCCTTTTTAGATACACAGCCATTTGTCAGCTGCAAAAAAAGAAAAAATAAATGAGGATAATAAAATCACAGTCATACGGTTGATTGCTTAAATGTTGTACCTCTGAGCAAGTCATTTGTGTCTTGTCAACTTCCTGCACACCAGGAAAAGGCTATTGCTTTCTCTGTGCACCTGTACATTTTATTTGCCCCTAGAATCTGCTACTGATGACTAGTTTTCATGTCTCCCCTCATGTTTACCGTCTCCTTCCTTCTGCTTTCTGTATCTGCTTTGTGAACCTGGGGTATGCTGAGGTGCAGGATAAAAAAATGAGCCAGTTAAAATACTTATTCCTGCTCCTCCAGACTAGTATGGTGTATCTCAACATTAGTCAGTGTACAAGTATTAGTTCCAAGGGGGTGTTATTGGGGCCTGTATGTGCTGCATTCCTTGGCTGCCAGCAGATGGAAAAGGTTTTGGAAAAATCTGTCAACATGACCTGAATGATAGGCAACCATTTATTCCTTTACAGACAGGAAAGGAGTCTGAAAAAATAAATAACAAAAGAGAGGTTCACACTCCTGTACAGTAAGAACTCATCTACCTATGAATGACAAGAAACTCACTATATTCCTCTTGACTTATACCTGAAGGAATAAATTGCACCTTGGTCTTGCTGCAGACATGAACATTTCTTGTAGAAAGAATGAAAATATGTGAGGTGCTTTCTGTAGCATGAAAGAGCTTTATGTTTAAAAGCACCAAATTTACTATATATATATATTTTTTTTCCCTGTGTGAAACACAATTAATGCACAATGCCTTTAGTGTTCCTGCAGCCAACAATTCTCAACACTGAGTGAACCATGAGCCTGTATAGCAAAGTCACTGGAGTGATATTAACCAAAGCATAAACAAGTAGAATTCATCTCCCCATTCTGCTTTTCATGCTGAAGTAAGATCTGCCTGGCTATTACTCTACAGCTAAGCAATGATCAGAATGCTTGACCTTTATTAAGTCTGGGAGTTTCTTTACCCAGTATTTTCTTTCTAAAACTTGACAGGAAGAAAGTGTCATATATATATATAACAGGGAAAAAATGGACTGTTGCCAGTTCCCAGTGGTGCTGAATGTTGCTCACAAATGACCAGCCAGATTCTCATAAATTTCAAGAATAGAGGAAAAAAGATCTAAATTCTTGTTCTTGTGTCACTTTTAAGAATTTTTTTTTTTTTTTTTTTTTTTTTTTTTTTTTTTTTTTTTTTTTTTTTTTTTTTTTTTTTTTTTTTTTTTTTTTTTTTTTTTTTTTTTTNTTTTTTCCTGAATATCTTCCCACCCATTTCCACCCAGAACTGATGTTAGTTATTAGAGAATAAGGTTGCCATATAAAAATTGACCCTTTACCTCCCTGGCTATTTTCCTTCCCTAAGGATGTTTGTTGAGACACTCTAAACCCATTAAGGATGTATCTTCTACTAACTATGACCTGAAGTTGAGATTTGGATTTTACCTTCCCAGTAGTTTTGTATTTTTCCAGCTACCTACTCCTGGCAAAACCTATAACTTCAGTTGGTAACCCAGCCTGAGGCTGTGTCCTTGAGTCTACCAGCCCTGAGGAGTAGGAACTGAGGTCTGCAGGCAACTTGCAAAGGATGAAATCTAAAGCTCTTCTTTGGATACTCAAGGAACTGGAGCCCGTATGCTGCCTGGCCAGAGAAGGCCAGCATTGAAAGTTGTACTCCCAGCCACTGTCGCACAAAAAGCAATTTTCCCAGGTAGATATGGATAAACTTTCTTCCTGCAATCAGGAAGACTCTTCCTGCTCCTTTCTCTCTGCTGTGCTACCTGCTGTCAGGTTACTGAGAATGTGCTACAAAGCAATTTAGGTTTGTGAGCTTCCAAAGCACTGGGAGAGTGCCTTCCAATTTGTGGCTACATCCTAGGACTCAGCAGGACTGTGCTGGCACAAGGGCTGCTTGCTACTATGAGTTCTTGGCAGCGGGACAAAGTAAAGGCTCTGCCAGATCATGCTGGAGCTGATCAGTGTGGCCTATTTATGTCACTAGGTATGGGATTCATGGGTTATTCCTGCCTGGGAGCTGCGCTTGGAGATCACTGCCTCCCTTTAATTAGTAGTGCTTGTCAGTGTTGGCCATTTGGAGATTTTTGGTTATGTCTTGTAGGCAGTGCTTTTCTCTTTTGGTCAGCTGTAAACCAGCACTGGTGTGTGCCCAGTTGGGTTTTTAACCAGAGCAGAAACACTTGGCTGGTGGGGACAGCTGTGAGGGAAGGCAGTGCAGTGCTCCCAGAAGAGAGAAGATGAATTCAAGGACTGCATGTGAAATACTTTGAACATGGGAAACTGAAAAGAAAAAAGGAAAACAATTGCTGACCTTATGAGGCAGCAGTTAAAATGCTGATGGGGGATGATAACATTACTATGGACCTGGTAGGGACTTCTTATTCCATAGGAGGTGGTCTGAAATAGATCAGCATGGCCATCCATTTTGAAATGTTTTCCTCCATTCTCTCCTGGACTAAAAATGCCCCAAAAACTAAGTAATGACACATCACATAGTGTCTCCCTGAAAGCATATTTGGGAAGTACTTGTGTGCCTAAACAAAGACCAAATAGGAAGGCAAATATATCTTCAACTGCAACAATACTCCATCATGAGAGCAGGATGATATTAATAGAGCTCAGTTCTGCTCAGAATTTGTTTTTAAAGAGTGATTTAAGTGAAGTGTTTCTTTCTGTCCCAGTTCTCTCTTTAAATCTCTCCTGTTCCTTTGTCCACACATATTTTTTTTACTTTTTTTTTCTTCCTGTGAGCATTGTCAGATAAGCATTATATAAAGTAAACACAAGTTTGTAATGAAAAGGAGAGGGAGATGATACTCATAATTAGAAGTTGCCATGTTTTATCTGTGAGTGGACCAACAGGCCTATTATGGAGTACACCCAGGGTTTTCATTCAGTTTCCCTCCAGTTCCAGAGAGACTATAATCTTTTAAAGATTATAGTCTATATATACTATATATTCTTTTTAAAGAATAAACTGGTTCCAAAGACTCCTTCTGAAAAGAGAAACCTATCATTTGAAATGCAACTACGGGAAATGGTGACTTTTACATTCCAAAGCTGACTACCTCAAAACAGAATCTATTAAAGATACAATACAAATAATCGTTTTAGGTTAACTGTGTCTGTTAAAGCCAAAGCACTCACAGGATGCTCGCTACACTTTGATTGCCAGGGAGGCTGCATCCTTAATCTGCTCAGAGCTTTAGCTTCAGCCATCCAACAACCACACTGGTGTTCTACTAAATATCAATCTGAAAAGTTTGGAGGAAAACAGTGCAAGAAATGTCAGCCATCTGTTACTAAATATTCTGACCAATATAGTTTATACTATTCAGCAAAGTTGCTACTAGCTTTGTATTTTGAGGAAATTAACGATGAAAAAGAAAAATAATAATAAAGAAAGCGTGTTGTGGCCAGAAGAGGATTGAATAGCTCATCACCCATTTGGATCAGATACATCAGGATCGCAAGCACTTTAACTGGATATGTATTGCTGGAATTGCTATTTTCCAGTTAAAACTGTTATAAATAAAAATTGACCCAGCCGAATTAAAAGTAAAAACCCCACAATTTTATTATAGCGATCGAATTCTCTCTGAGCCAGCCACAAGAAGGACAGTGCCGAGTCCTGGATCGGCGCTGGGGGTGTCACAGAATAGACAGCAGAGGGTCCTCCTGGTACAAGCGATTTTTACAGGGAATATTTTGCTCGAGGCCAGGATTTCGGGGCGATCAGCCTTTTCTTTCCATTCAAAGTCCCACATATTCATAAAGTCTCTTTTCTCTGTGTTGAGTTTGAACAATTCGGTGTCCGGGTGGTGATGAATCTCTCTGATGTAGTTACTGGAACACGGCATTCAGATGGACCAGCCGGGAGGGTTCCAGCGATCCCAATCTCGGGTCGTTGCCGGGATGACCATCGCCCGGCATTCCTGTATCACCTCGAGGAACGACCCATCTCCGGGCGAGCCACATGTATTACCTTGCAAATGAGGTTTTATCAGAGACTGGTTTTCGAATATGCGGGGACAACTCCCAATGCCGACGTGTGTGTGCTTCCAACAACATCAAATATTACATACATCATGTCGCACCGGCGCGAATTATATTAATTACACGTAACAACACCAAGGCGGGACTCCAAGGCCCGGGGAGTCCGCGCTTTCAGTGGCGAAGCGACGGCGGCGCGCCCTCGGCGCTGTTGTGGCCCCCGCCGGCCGCCGTCCCGGCGCCGCTGCGCGCGCGAGGCCCGGGGCGGGGCGCGATGGCGGAGCCCGGGTGAGGCGCGGTGAGTGCCGGGCTCGGGCCCGGCTCGGGCCCCTCGCCTCCCCTGCCCTCCTTCCCATCCCCTTCCCGTCCTAATCTCCGCTGCCTGCCTGTGACGGTCTGGCCGAGCTCCCCTTCTCCTGCCCGCGCGATGCTCCCGTCCCCTGTGGGGCCTTGCGGGGCTCCGCGTTAAATTCGGGAGGAGGAGAGGAACGTCCCGGCGGGAATCTCCGCGGGGGCCGGCGGGGATGGGGAACCCTCAGCGGGCTGGGGGCCGAGCCCAGCCGGGCTCCGGGATGTGCGTGGTCCGGGCTGCCCCTCGCCCGTGGGCCGTACTTGTGTGTGTGTGTTTATATATGTCTGTGTTGTTCTAATATTTATGTATACGAGAAGAGACTGCGGGAACGGGGTCTGTTTATTCTGAACAATACCGAGAGGGGGTCTCTTTTATGTGTATAAATGTCTCAGAGGTGGTGCCAGACTCTTCAGGCGCCCAGTGACAGGACGAGGAGCAGTGGCCATAAACTAAAACGCAGGAAGTTTCGCTTTAACAGGAAGAACTTTACATTGAGGGTATCAGAGCTCTGGAGCAAGCTGCCCAGGGAGGTTGTGGTGTCTCCCTCTCCTGACACGTTCAAAACCCTCGTGTGCACCTTCCCATGTAACCTGCTCCAGGTGGTCCTGCCGTGGCAGGGCTGGATGATCTCTGGAGGTCTCTTCCAACGCCAACAATTCCATCGTTCTGTGGTATCTACATATATATAGGAACACACATACATACTTAGGCTATGCTTTAAACTCGGTCTCACTGTGTATTAACGCTGCAGTGTTCTGCTCTGTTTGAGGCCGGGGATAAAATCCCGGGGTTTTACCGGAGACACCTGTTGGTAAATAGCTGAAAAGGGCGGTCCTGTTCCATCTGAATGGAAGTTTTCCATTGGTTTGTGCGAGGAGATTGAGCAGGGGTCACCAAACCAGACTGGCACAAGGGAAGTTTTGTGTGTGACAAGATGTTAAAACAACTCTAGTTTTTTATTTGCGTACTAACATTTTTTAAAAGAAAAATGTAGAGTTCTGTAGGTGCAGCTGGGCTGTATAAGAAGAATACATTAACTTCTAATTTTGTTACTGCTTCTTATTTCAGTCTATCTACCAGAATAGCTGCAGGAATTTGTCTTTATTTTTTTTTTTTTCCATGTGAAGGAGATCTCATGCATGCATATGGAACTAGTGCAGATATCAAGTAATCTGTTTCAAAACAACTTCACAGTGTTTTAATTTAAAAAATATTGTGAATGACTTGAACTAAAATTTACTGTTACTTTTTCTCCTTTCTTTCATTCAAAATTTTAAACTGATTGAAGACAGAATCTGCAGGAAGTCTGAGATAATTTAAATACATCTGACTTTGAAAAAAAACCAACTCTATAGAAGAAGACAAAAAGAACTGTGCCTGTGCTCAGGAGACAGGGAAAACGTGGGAACTCTTCCACCTTGCCAGCCAGCCAGTGTGTGCACCCAGTCTGCATGAGGTCAGACTGAGCAAGGAATGTATTTCTGCAAAGGGAGGATGAGTGCTTCTTGGACAATAACGTGAATTCATGGCTTTCTGTCTGCTAGTTCTGCTTGTTCATGCCATGTCTTTTTCCTTTTCCTCCTCCTTACCCCCCACCCCCCAGGTTTACTGTCCAAAAGGATTTTGACCTTGCTTAAAAAGGTAGGAATTTTAATTTGGCTGTATTTTTTCTTCCATGGGTTGCTTAAATAAGCTTATTTGCTTTTCCATATGCTCCATTTTATTGGATATTTTTCTGTAAGAGAGAAAAAGTGACAAATTTAAACATTTTATTCCCTTCCAGATACTGATTTGATAACTTTATTTCTACATATTCTCAGTGGTGTAAGTTAGTGTAAGAGAAGTCACCTTTCCTTCATATTCTTTATTGCTAGACTTTTCACAAATGTTTATTTTTGGTTTTTGCTGCATTACTGTATAGATCCTGTTTTTTTTTTTTTTTTTTTTTTTAATTTTTTTTTTTTTTTTTTTTTTTTTTTTTTCTAGAAGAATGCTAGTTGCCTAAGTAGCTCTTTGTGACATCATTCTGTTCCTTTTTAAGTTAAATGCAGATATGTGATGGTTCAGCTTACATTAAGTTTTATTTTGAAGTATATTTTGCAAGATTGACTGAAGTACACATATTGGGAAAATGCACGGGTGTTTTACTTCTTATGTACTTCAGTAATTAATTTTCAACATCTGGAAGTGTTTTTATGCCAGCAGCAAATCTTTGGTTACTGAAGTATAAGTTTAAATACATTAAAGCCTTGTTTTTTTTGTTCTTCATTGCAGTTAGGAAAGTGTTGTATTTTCCCTGTAAACTCTGAAACACCCTTGTATGATTTTCTTAGTAGGTGTTGGTGTTTGTAAAACACCCGAGTTTCCAATGGTACTTCAGACTTTATTCTAATTAGGAGTTACAGCAGTAACTCTTTTTATGGACTTTTCTAGCAAATTGCTTTTTTTGATTCCTGAAAACTGATCTGGATTTTCACAACTGCTGGGAGATACATATGCATATATATTTAGTTTCTTGTGGAAAATATAATTAGTTATTAGCAATCTTTTAATGTATTATTCTAGCCAGATTATAGTATATATTTTTTTATTATTTAGGTATAGTTGTTTAACATTCTGTACCTGAGAACATGAATTTTTATTTTACTGTCCCAGTGAATTAAGTAATTCAGATTAAAGGCTTGTGGGATCAGGAATTCTAGGAATAGTTTAGTTTTTTTTCAAAAAGACTTTGGAAACATGTTTGGATAGTGTCCACACACAAATAAGAGAGCCAGAATGGCCTCTGGAGCAGTCACTTGTGTTCTGTGTCTTTTGTTCTTCTTCTGTGATGTGAGTGGAAGTACATGCATCAAATGACATGAGTGCACTATTTCATAATTATGCTGACATGATTAAAAATACCTGTCTCTTGAATGTGTCGTGTCAGAGGAGATGAAGGGGTTTGGAGTTAGGAGAGGACAAGGTACAGATGATTTATAAACAAGCCCTTAGGAATCTGTGTGGTTTGTGACTTTCTCCCTGCCTGTGTTTGAGGTATCGGGGGAGGAGGCATTCAGGAAGTGTCTCTGGTAGTGGATTGTTTTCATGTGCTCAGTATCCCTCATATGTGTGATATATTGCACATACGCTTAGAGATTTATCTGACTTTTCTTTATGAGAAATGTGCAGTAGGTATGAGGCCTTGGTTTTGTATTCAAATGCTTTCCTAATGCCAATCTTCTCACAACACTTCTTGAAGATGCCTGCTGCCTGTGAGTCAGTGCTTGAGGATATCGAAGACATCGTGTCAGCAGAAGATTTGAAGCCACACGATCGACAGTTTGTGAGAAGGAATATTTTTCCCAAAGTGCGAAAACGCAACTCCCAGAAAAACATTCAGACAGATGATGAGCCCCCAAGTGACAGGTAAAGTCTTACATTGACCCTGTGTTGGTGCTTTTCTTGTATCTCGTATGTGATTGTCAGATTTTAAAAATAAGGTGGAAGTTTGTGTTATAGCTTAATGTAAAATCTATGTACAAGATAAAAATGAGTAAAATACTCCATATAGAATGTAGAGAGACTAAATAATAAATCCGTAACAAATTCCTTTTCCTAGACACATTTTCTGTAGAAATCAGTTATTGCTGAGTTGTTGATTAATGGAATAATCAGTCTGGAAAAATGGTTTCTTTTACGCTTTTATGTGTAAAGGATTTCTGAAAAATTGTTTGTTTAATCTTACTTACCTAAATACAATCTGAGCTTTTCAAAATGCAGTTCTGGAGTAGCCTTTCGACTTCTGAAGTGAATAATAGGAACAAAATCCTGAGAGGTGCAAAAGGGTTGGAAGGTCCTCTTTTCCAAACCCACTGCTTGAGCACTGCCACAAAGAACCAGTTGGCAGGACTCTGACTAGGTAGGTTTTTTTCCATCAAAGAGATGGAGATTCTGCAGTCTCCACGAGTAACCTGTGCCAGTTCTTGGTCATTCTTATAGTGAAAAAGGTGTTTCCTGATGCTCAGAAGGGACCTCCCATGTTTCATTTGTGCCTGTTGCTTTTGGTCCTGTCACTAGACAGCACTGGAAAAAAAGGAGGCTATGCCTTCTTTTTACTCTCCCTTCACGTATTTGTATACTTTGAGATCATCCTGAGCCTTCTCGAGGCAGAACAGTCTCTGAGCCATTTCTGTTATGAGGCATGTTCCGGTCCCTTCATGATCTTTATGGCCTTTTGTTGGACTGTCTCCAGTACATCTTTGTTGTGGGTGCATCCTGTCAGGGCCCGGGGACTTGTGTATGCCCAGTGTGCTGAACTGTGTATTCTCTGACCCAGTCTCCTTTTGTCATCCTTGCTTCAGTCTTTAAACCTGTTTTCTGCATCCTGGGATTTGCAAAGGCCGTATTTCTTGTGTGTACATCCTGCAAGTGATATGGTAAAATTTCTTTGGAACTTGCTGTTTTATTTCAGTGGAAATAGTATGCAGTAAGCATTAAATGTGTCTTTGCATTTTTCCTACTTGGGATTTCCATAAGAACAGAATCAACATTCTGCTGCAGTGGAATTGATTAGAGGTTAGGTCAACTTAGTTATTGATTATAGTTTCTACTGCAGGTTTGACATCTGGGTTTTTTCTTTTTTTTTTTCTTTTTCTTTTTTGAAACATTGGTTTGAAGTTGGTGGATGAAATTTCCCTAGATGATAAAGATGAAAATAAATTGTGTATGGAAATTTAATTTCATCTGGAGAAATAAAATTATGGGTTTTCACTGGTGTTCAAAAGAGATTTTATTAGCATAACAACGCATTTTTTTCTACATGCCCCTATAAGTACATTGGCCCCAGTCTGCCAGGAATATATGGGCAGCTGAGCTGGTGCTCTGTAGATACTTTACACAAGTAGTTCCTGCCCCAAAGTGTTCAGGTACTAGATATTCTCTAGCAGGCTGTGTTTTAGTGTTTTGTACCCAAGAAAGCACATGAACATGTGTTGTTTAGACAGCAGGAAGTCTAAACACCCTGTGTTTGCAGTTAATGATCATTAATGTTCCATCAACAAATTTCTATTTTTAGGTAGGGGAAGTGTCTGTTAAAAAAGAAGTGTGGAGGGGGAGGGAGGGAAAAAAAGCTGTAGGCAGGGCGCAGTATTGTGTTCCAGGATGTGTGGTGTTCTTGTACTGGCATCTTTAGCTCATTGGCAGTTATCCCAGGAATTTCAATGGGAGCTTCTTACAGAACTTTTTGTTGGTTTTTGGAGCCTTGTATGTGCTGGCTCCAAACTGCTCGTCTGCCATGCTGCTTCTGTAGCCTGGAAAGGTTGGGATGGGGGCTTTCTGCTGTTTGTGAGGCTGGAGGCCATCAAGTTAATTTATAGAGCTGGCTTGTGTGGAGGGAGCTATAGTCAATGCATGCCGTAATATCAAAAGGTTGCAGTTTGTTTGCTGGTGGCCTAATTTCCGTGCTGTCACTTGAAGGTTACTTGTTACATGATACGGTAATTTTGAGAACTTTGGGGAATTTAAGTTTGGTATTATTTTTTTACTGTGTTTACTTGTTTTGTTGTGGTTTTTGTTGTTGCTTTAACATAACTGCAATGTACTGATTCTGTGTTATCCTACAGCTCCTGCACCTTCTCCATGCTGAAACTTTTCTATTTCTTTTCTTGCTAGTTGTGGTGGATTGACTCTACCACAAGGGAGAGAACTGGAAGAGTAAAAGTGAGAAAACTTGTGGGTTGAGATGAAGACAGATAAAGTGAAGGAAGGAGCGGGGAAAAGCCCCAAGTGATGCAAAAGCAGCCATTTGCCACCTCCCACAAGCAGACTGGTACCCAACCAGTCTCAGAACAGTGGTTATTTTGGAAAGACCAAACACACAGCTTTTATTGCTGAACATGATGTCATCTGGAATGAATTATCCTGTTGGTCAGCTACTCTGCTCATGTTCCTCCCAGCCTGTTGTCCATCTGCATTCTGCTTGTGGCGGGATGGAGCACAGTGGGAAACAAGCAAACACTGTTCAATGACAGCTGAATTATCTGTGTGTTAACACTGTTTCAGTCACAAACACAAAACACAGTCCTACAGAGGTTTATGTTACTCTGCCCCAGCAAGGGGCAGAGTAGTGTAACCTGTTACACTAAAATCACATAATTACTGTTTTTCCTCAGCTGTTTTGGAGTTGTTACTGTTTGCACAGCTTATTTTATGTTTAAAGAATTACAGTTCATTCAGTCAGTTCAGTGGACTTAAAGGGGAAGCCTGTTCATCATTTAACTTGCATTTCTCATTTGTTTTTACTTGACAGCATTATTCCTGGTGTTCAGAAAATCTGGATTCGTACATGGGGATGTTCTCACAATAATTCAGATGGTGAATATATGGCTGGACAGCTGGCTGCATATGGATACACAATTACAGGTAACAGTATGAGTGAGCTCTGTAATTCAGTTTTTCTGGGGTGAATGTTCAGAGCTGTCAAACTCTCATCAAATATTTTCAGTCTTAATTATGCTTTTGAAAATCCCCTTCTGATCCTTTCTGATCTGAAGGTGAAGAGGTAAACTGCTTTCTGGGCATTAAGTAGAATGATTACAGGATGAGTGCTTTCAGAATGATTGGATTTTCTTGACAGGGCAGACATCAGGTGTAATTTAGTGCCTTTTTTTGACATTTTACTTGCTAAACTGAATTGAAAAGTTTTCATAAGAGTGGACGGGAAATATATTAATTGTTGTTTTTTAATTGTAATTGGTGGAACCCACAGGGAAGTGGGAGACCGGCAGTGTTTTCACTTGGTGATATGTGTGTTTGCATTGGAGCAGATGTGGTCTACTCCAGGTAAATGATCTTTTGTTTCAGGAGGGATGATCAGTATGATGGAGGTTGGAAATTATGAGGTACAATCCTGTATCATCCCAAGAGCTGAGAATGCTATTTCTCCTTCCCTTCCAAGTACTTTAAAGTCTCCCCATCATCTTGTTCTGCCTCCCCAAGCCTAAAAATGCCCTCAGACTTGTGGTTATGCTGACCACATTTCATCTCCTTAATGCAAAATAGGCCGACAAGTTGAAAAGTTGGTTTAATACCATGTTGCAATACAGAAGTATTATCTGAACACTTTTGTATAGCTTTTGACTAGTCAAAATAGAAACTTAAGTTTTATTAATTAATTCAAGTTCAGGTGTGTCTTGCACCTAAACTTGTATACTGAAAGACTATGAAGTTGTCTGCCCTGATATTTTTCTGATTTCACAGAATGGCCGTTTCTTTTCTGAACGTGTCATGATACCATTAAAGAGTTGCATCTCATTTTCCTTTATTTCTGTTGATCTTTCTTACATAGACATAAGACACTAAATTATTCAAGTGCTGAACTACTTTAGGGAACCATGTTGATTATTAAATTAGTAGGTATGTAGTAGGTATGCTCTTTCCACAGACAAGTGGAGTGCTGATCCAAAACCTCTTATTTGCAGCAGCTGTTTGTATAAGATGGCAAATATGTTTTTGTTATGGCTTTCTTAAATTTAATTCATCTTTACCTTCATTGTTCTAATGCATATTATTCCAAAAACTGCTTTTGGCTTGTCAAGATGGAGATGGCTGTTCTGTGAGAGAGATGTAGGGAAGACGGGAGTGCAGTGAAGGAAGGAACTATGTTAAATTTTTGATACCTTATCTTTTTAGAAAATTAACTGTTTATAAGATTAGAATAGAAATATGTCTACTTCTAGAATCTGAAACTGAGAACTAAAAGCCTAATAAAAGTTGCAGTTGCTGGGAGAGGAGTCTGAGAGTAATTTTGGTATTTGTACATGAAATTGACTGCTAGTTTCTAGTCATTATCAAATCTAAATCTTGATTTAGTTTATGTTAATGTATGTACATATATTAAATGGAACAAATAGAAAAGCCTGAATGCTAAGTGATAGGCACAAATTATGCAGTGTAGTTTCTTCTTTTTAAATTAAGTAGTTCTTGTCAGTCTATGCTTAAAAAGGCATGTTCGGCTTTTTTAATATTTAGTCATCTGGGAAGTTCAGATAGGATGTCAAATAGGGATTTAATCTTTTTGTCCTATACATTGAAGCAGCTACTCATAATAGTACCTGTTGCTTAAATGATCCAAATGTCAAACATTTCTTGAAATTAAACTTAATATTGTTTATGGTAGGCAAAAAATAAGAAGAAAATATTTTGTAAGAGCTATTTTGTAAATCAATCTTTGTGTTGCTAGAATTCGTTAGTTTTTTGGTAGCATAAAACTGCTACAATCTTGGGGAAAAGATAGAAATACTAAGTTGAAAGATTGTCTGTTGTCACAGTGTCTTGGACAGCTATTACTTAAAAGTGTTTGGATTAACCTATTTCCTACATGTTCCTAAGCTTTTGAGACAACACTTCCTGAAAAGATGCTGGAATAAAGTTCTGGCTTTAGAAAATGTGAGCTTTACTTACAGTTTTTGTTCCATTATGAAGGACTCGAGCACTGTTTCTAGTGTCTTCTGTCTAATTGCAAGATTGGAAAAAAACATAGAAGGAAGAAAAGCAGCATCAGACAGATTCCTGTTGCTAACTGGAACTTGTAACAATGCAACCTGCCTTGCAAGTTGACCTATCTGAAACTGAACATTAATATAATGTCCTCCTTGCTTTTCACATGTTTCAAAAATGTTCTTTCTGTACAAGCACCCTTTGTTGCTTCCAGGAGCATCTATAGCCAAAGATAAAAACTGAGTGCTGTACTTCTCACAGCAAAGATTGCCTGTGACTGGGGAGAGACCAGAGTGTGAATCAGCAATATACAGATACTGCAATAACAGCAGTGGTGATTTAAAGTCAGGGACTGCATCAGCTTAAAAATAGGCAAAGGAAAACCAGCAGAAGAGCTGAACCTATTTTTATATCTGTTTTTACAGTGTGAAGGTGGGCAGCATTCTGAACAAATTGCATACCATCCAGTGGGAACACAAAGCTCCTTTATAAGCCTGAACCACACAGAAATGTGTGGACCAGCTGCTATCAGTGTAGGGCTGTACCATGGGTAATTGTTCATATTCTGAAAATGGTGTAGCTGATGGTGGCTTTACTGGTTCTAAAACTGGTTTTGGTTTCTTGGCAGCATGACTTGCTGTGTAGTTTAGACATGCCTGCAGACCTGCTGGAGTGCTCCCTGTGAGATACACCCTGGAGGAAGAAACTCTCATGGTACAGACTGTAATGCCTGCTGTGAAAAACAGGAAGTGGGCGAGCTGGGAGCTTTCAAATATTGTGAGCAAGATTTTTGTTTAGAAGGGACTTAAGTATGTTTGCCATGTAGCTCGCTTTCTCTCTGAAAAATGGAACTGCACATGTATAGTCAGACACAGAATGCTTTCACTTCTCAAGTGGGTAGCTCTATTCACATGTGTTGACATCTGTAAGTTTCTAGTTTTGTGTAATTAATGGGTCTTGGCCCAGCTTTGAATGCATTTTGGTGGATCAAGACATTAAGTATGCTTATTATTTAGTACAGATTGTTTCTGGCTCAGGTCAGTTCAGGTCCAAAGCATGCCCTCCTCAGCCATTGTAAAACATGCTGGGGTAGGAAAGGCATTGCTAATAATTCAGAAATATCAGAAAAAATGAACACCAACTTTTTCTTTGATGAAGATGAAGCAAAAACTTATTAAACATTCAGTGAGGCTAAAGCAGTCACAGTTTATGTGCACTACACTTTTGTGAATTTTAGAAATGAATGCTAGCACAGAACATACTCCTCCTCTAGCATGGGATTCTACAAACAAGAATAGTTTCTGCTATGTCAGTGGTCTTGGCTTTGATGTAGCACTTAGAAACTGGGTTATGTTATAGACCTTTAGCTTTACTTGTGCAGTTTTAGACTAATCTGAAATTAGTTCAGCCATCCTATTCACTGTCTCAGAGATTTCTTCTGTAAGTGTGTTGGATGGAAAGTTGCTGTGTAGAGTTCACTCCATTTAGTTGGCAGGACTTGTACCAGTGAGACTTGCCAATTCTTACTGAATCTTACTGTGTTTATAGTCCAGGTTATGTCTTACAACTTTGTAACTCCCTGTGCAGAGAATTTATGTATTTCTCTAAAGCAAATATCAAATAATATTTTGAAATCCTGTTAAAGCAATTATCTGGAGTTTTTTACCTCTCCTATTTGATAATTTTCTAAACACTTGTCAGTTTTGCTTACCAGTGGATGTAACTGAGGTATGATTAAGACTCTCCATCTGCTTAAACAGCACATTTGCATAGAGGAAAGAAGGAAGAAGACAAGGAAGCAAGAATGATCTCCTTAAGACCTCATATTGAAAAGAAGACTGATGTAAAAGGAAAGAGTCTGCTGTTGAAAAGCAGATGAGGTGCTGCAATCTAAAATGGACTTCAGCGTTCAAATGCATTGTCTCATGTTCATTGTGTTGCGTAAGCCATGCTTGTGTAGACTTTGGCCATCCCCACACAGGTGCAGCAAAGCATGCTGCAGCATGAATTTTATTCATCCAAGTGCAAAATAAAGAAAATTACTAAGACTGTACAGGTATTGATTCCTGGGTTGTGAATCACTTCAGTATCTGGTCCTTTGTTTCAAGTGTTGTCTTAAAAGTACTTTTGTACTACACAATAAATTTTTAATACTAGATTTTGATTTATTTTATTGTTTTAAAGTAGAGATCTCTTTAATATATTACTGTATTTTTAAAATAAGCTCTCTGCAGCCTGCATAGTGGTTGATGAAGTATTTTGACTAAGATCTCTGCTGGTTTCCAGTGCATGCTTTTAGTTGCTCAGAATCAGCAGTTGGTCTTTCCATTTTTTGCTCTCCACCCTGCTGATAATGCTCATCTGCTCCTTCATAAGTATCATGTAAAATGGTAGTGACTACAGTGTAATTTTTGGGGCCATCCTCATTGTGAGGTATATTTAGTATTCTTATTAAGCTAAAAGACAAATCTTTATTAGCTGCTCATGAAGTGCCTTATTAGTCAGAGAATTCAAGGTTAGTCCTTTTTTTTGGATTTATACTTTTCAAATGGTTATGAGTGCAGTTCCAATTTAGAAAAATAAGATAATTTACAATCCTTTCTTGAGGGACAGGGTATGTATGGTGTTTGCTTAAATACACAAAATACCCCACACTACTTTTCTGTTGATGAGAAGTGTTTCTGTTTTCTCTATAACACGTCAGTCATGAAACTGTCTCTGAAGCAGCTGAGCAATGGAGAGAAGTGAACAGAGGTTTAAATTCTGGTGTTTTGGACCCTCACTGAGGAATTTTCCTATTGTCTATAGCTTGTAGAGTCACAGCCCTGTATGATTTTTGCATTGCTTGATAACCGTATCAGCATACCTGTTCTGCTAGATTTCTCTTTCAGATTCAAACTGAGTCCTGTTTCTAGATGTAAAAG